AAACCGCCATGTCAAGAAACCTTATTGGTCGAAATCCCGACCAAAAATAACCTTACTGGATCAAATTACAGGGCAAAGAAATCTTATTGGCTGATTCGCCCCCTCCCTGAAATTCCATTGGTTGAGACCGCAATGTCAAAAAATCCTATTGGTCGAAATTTCCGACCCAAAATAACCTTACTAGGCCAAAATATAGGCAAAATAAATCTGATTGGCTGATGTGCCCTCCTTCTGAAATCCCATTGGTTGAAACCGCAATGTCAAAAAACCGTATTGGTCGAAATCCCGACCAAAAATAACCCTACTGGGCCAAAGTACAGGCCAAAGAAATCTGATTGGCTGATTTGCTCCCCTCCCTGAAATCCTATTGGTTGAAACTACAATGTCAAAAAACCCTATTGGTCGAAATCCTGACCAAAAATAACCTCATTGGGCTTTTGTTGTAAAATGAGTGATATGAGAGGTCAAAAAAACTTCTTTTCGTTCTGTGCGAACGAACGAACGAAGTTACGAAGTTACGAAGTTACGAAGTTACGAAGTTACGAAGTTACGAAGTTACGAAGTTACGAAGTTACGAACGGACAAACTTTGCTCGGTGTATGACCCTCCTTTCAGTAGAGGGAAAAACCGATGATAATGATGATATAAGTTTTATCTCGCATATTAGTTATGATACGACTAGTGATGATGATTCAATCGATGATAATGATGGAATAAGTCTCGATAGTGATAGCGATTATAACACGAATAGTGAAGATGGTTCGATTGATGAAAATAATGAAAGAAGTCTTTCTTCTGACAGTGGTTGTGAAACGAATAGTGAAGATAATTCGACTAATGATAATGATGAAAGAAGTCTTACGTTCGATATTTGTTATGAAACAAGTAACGCGACGCAACCGCCGCTAAGCCCTCTACTGAAAGGAGAATGGCATGATAGAGGAAAAAGTATAGTACCAGCCATGAAGTTTCAACTTTCATCCATCTGTCAGGCTCAACAGGCATGAGTGAATGCTGGCAAGAAAACACGGGATATCGCTGAAACAAGAAAGCAGTATTTCCATCAGAAAGTTTGGGCTTTTTTCGGATGAATTCGGACCAAGTTCCTATGCTGTTCAGCAGGAGCTAAGTGAAAATCATCGTAGAAAAATTCAAAAATTTTCTATTGAAATATTGCTTCCAGTTTCCGCGATTTTTCTGCATTTTTCCACCGGTTTCTGTAATATCCGTTCTCCGGAATCATTGACTTGAATATTTTATCTAATGTTCACCGATCCTTTCGTTAATGTTTCTTCAAATCAATTATATAATAGTAGTCACTGAAGAAATAGAATAAAGTGTAGTATC